CATGCACGCACACACAGGTACACACAGTTACACACACGCACAGAGGTTACACACACACAGGTACACACACAATTACACACACGCATACGTTACACATCCACACAGGTGTACACATGCACACACGCACACACACACACAGAGTTGCACGCACAAAAGTTACACACATCCACGCGCACGCACGCACAGAAGTTACAGGACTGTGCATTCCACAGCTTGGGGAGGGCTCTCGAGAGCCTGCGTGGGGAGGACCGCCGGGCTGCAGGGCTGCGGGGCAGGAGGCTGCGGAGTTTGCCCCGCACCAGGGCTGAGCAGGAGCCCGGGCCGGGGCGCGGTGGCAGAGCCCGGGGGCGGGGGCGGGGGCTGCCCCCCTGCAGCGTGGGCCAGGCACCTCCTGCGCTGTCCTTGGTGCTGAGCTGGCCAATGCGGCAGGGACCGCGCTGCCGCATGGGGCCCCTAGCGCCGTAGTCCTTGGCACAGCCGCCGCTGGGGCAGCGACGCTGTCCGAGGTACTGAACAGGGCTCTTCCTCTGCCCCTGCAGTCCGGCGGGGCCTCGGCTACGAGCTGAAAACCCTCCGCCCACCAGCAACGCGGCTCCTCACGCTACTGCACCGCAGCCGCGGGATGGAGCTGCCGATCCCGGCAAGCACCCTCCTCCCGCTTCCTCACCAGGCGAAATCTTGCCGTGATAGCATGCCTTTCCCCCTCCTCCCTCCCCTGCGACCTCCACATGCAGCGGATTCGGCTGCACAAATCCTCCGGGGGAGAAGGCGGGTTTGGGAGGGGGGGAGGGGGGTGCATCGCGATGGCTCGCAACGAAGCTAGGAGTCAAAAGAATAGATGCCTCCCCCCTTCCCTTTCCTCGGAGAGGCATAACCTGGTTTTGGGAGGTCCCAGCTCTCCGCTCAGCCGGCAGCCGGTGTGCCTTCCTCCATTCCTGTAGCATCATAAGCGCTTTAACCAAGGAGCTTCTTCCCCCCGCCCCCATTCCCGGTGCTCTCCCTTACCTGGGCTGCCGCAGAGTTCAGTGAGGCTGCCACTGCTGCGGGTTCCGAGGCTGTGGGTCGCTGCCGCAGCTGGGAGGTAAGCACAGTCGCTCCTGACCTCCCCAAGTCTCCTTCTTCAATGGAATGGGAGCTGTGCCCTCATCAAAGATGGCCGTCCTTTCCTACGTCAGCAGCTTTTAATAGACATCTATCAAGGGGCGGAGGGAAGAGGAGAGGAAAAGGGGGGGGAAGTAGTCTATGGAAGCTTGAGTCATCAGATGCTGCTGCTGTTGCACTGCACTGCAATCCTTTGCATTTTGCTCCAGTTTACAAGAGGTGCCAAATCAAGCCAGGCACCGAATTAATCTCAGCTTTCACTTCTTATACAGCGTTCCCTACCAAACCGATAGGTTTCTTGTGGGAAGTCGGGTGTCTGGGGAGGGGGAGGGAGGCTAGTGTGTGTGGGAGGGGGAGGATTTTAGCTGAGAGAGGTTTTGGTCTAATCATTTTGGGGGGAGGGAGGGGGGAGATAATGCAGTAGTGATTTGTTTTCGCCAAAGGGGTGGTCCGAAGAGGGTATCCCTCTGTAGTCTCTGCTGCTCCATATATGGCCAATCTACGTGGGCTTCTATTTTTATGTGTGATTTCTTTCTTCTTCTTCTTCTTCTTCTTCCTCTTTTTCTTCTTTTTCTTTTTCTTCTTCTTTTTCTTTTTCTTCTTCTTTTTCTTTGTGTGTATATTAATCTGCCCCCTTTCCCCCAATCCCAAACCAAGCCAACCAAAAAGAGAAAATCTAAACTTAAAGCTCTAACACATAGCTGAGTGTTTGGTATGCACTCACATGCAAAGACTCCCAGCCACATCTGGGAGAAAAATGGTTAATCCATTCCAAGGAAAAGCCTGGTGTTATTTATTATTAATTAATAAATTAATTAAATGATCACTTCAGAGCACATCATATGTGGAAGAAATACAGCTGTCATGAAGATTAATTTTAAAAGTAGAAATTGGCAAAAAATTGAGGAAATTCCTTTTGTTTCATATAACATTTTCCTTTTAGATCCAAGTCTCCAGATTTGTAATGAAATGTTAGGGTCTACTTCATCTCATCACTTACAGTTCCATATTCCATATATATTCCATACTCATCTGTGCGGTAGTTTATAAAATCATTCAGACTTACATTTAAAAATAAGTAAAGAGAATTCATTCATGTCCCAGAATCAGACACTTTTGTTTATTCAAAAATGTTGGTAGCTGAACATTGGACGTGTTAAACCGTGACTTACAGGCTTTTCCAAATAAGCAAGAGATGACAGAGTCAAAATGCAGTTTCTAGGTTAGGGATAATTCTAGCCTGATTCTAGCCTCAGTTTTCCTCAGCATGTCAGGGAAAAACACCAAAATAGAGACCCAAGACTATGTAGCTGTATTTTGGAGTGTATGCAGCTCATGTTGTGATTGTGTGGTGGACAGGGCTGGGAGGGGAGAAAGACTGGAAACAGAAAAGCAGGTGATTCTGCCTCCTATGCTCTGTAGTTTCCCACAGAAGATGTGATTGTCAGCCATGCCTTGCGACTGCAGGCAGTTCACACCCCCTCCCACGAAAATCTGTCCTTGAGTCTCATTTGGAAGAAGGCATTCAAAAGTTTGCTAAATATATGACAAAGGAATTCTCAGACAGCAGGATGCTTCCTGCTGCAGTGAAGCATCTAAATCTATGCACAAGAAAAACCTAGGAGAGGAAAAAAAATCTGTCAAGTTTAAGGTCTGCTGAGCATAACATAACATAACATAATCTGCACCTTACCCACTTAATGTATCTGGACACATACGTTTCTTAAAGCAAACTAATAAATTGATGTATTAGCATAATTCCTAGTGTTGATAAGCAAGTTATTTTTATCTAGGTTGGGCATTTATTGCTATTCTGGTTACTTATGGATTTCCAATATCCAGATAAAATCCAGTATGTGTATCCCTACTTAAAATCCAGAACTTGCAGCTGCATTTATTATATTTTTTCATAGCAAATATACAGCTTTAAAGTAAAAAAACATGCACTGTCTCTTAGGTAATCACACTGAAATAAAGTTTGATTTCCAATAAAGCAATACTAATTATTATGAATAGATCACATTGATAATAAATTACGGAAACAAAAACCAAGTTATAAACTGCTGTTTTGATTATGTTATGTAGCACTGCAAAACCTTGGTAGGTTTTGGATTCATACCAGAATATGCCTTTGAGGAGGTTTTTCAGTCCACTGGCTTTAAAACAGAAATGAATTTGGACCATTATAAGAAAAGTCTTGGAAAAAATTGTGTTGCCAGCAACATAAAATGATGTGTTAGAAAAATTAAGAAATTTGAACAGCTAACTTTGTGAGATGGAGAGAGAAGAACAGGAGGAGTCAGAGTATGCCAAAAGTGAGATTTTATGCAGACATAACAATTACTGCAAGCTCAACCATGAGAAACTTGGTTTGGGGCAGAAGATGAGTTTTCAAGGCCTGTTGCATCATAATCACCTATTTTAATAAAGCAGAGTAGAACAAAATGATTAAATAGATTAGGAGCAAAGAACATTAGGCCTAATGAGAATCACTTTCTATCTCACTTCTAGCTATGTCCAAAATTATGTGGGGAGGGGAGATGTTATATGTCATTTACAAAGGTGCAAGGATTTACACTGGGAGATGTATGGAGACAGCTTTTTTGCCTCAAAGCACTAAGAATCCTATTGTGGGAAGTAAATAATTTTAAGCCATCCTGTAACATTCCTCCTTTGATGATATTGAGATTTGTTTTGTTTTATAATCAAATGAGTAGGTTTATCACCTCTGTGATAATATCTAAACGTCAATTTAATATTAAGTAAATGAGAATGAACAAAAATGAACCCCCAAAAACAAGGTAGGAGGAGAGACAAAACTGAAATTTGATCTAAGAATGATTCAGCTCCCTCATAATTATTCAGGCAAATATTCAACAAGCTGAACAACTAGTACATGTAGGCACAATCCACGAGTAATGAGAAAATTAACATCCTTTACTAGATGTAAATGTGCAGTATATCAAGAGGGTTCCTATGTTATTGTCAGTGAATTCACAGAGGTTATTGAAAGCAGAGCCTGTAGAACTGTGATAGTGGGAACACTACAATGCTTGTTTCTTGCAGCATTCCAAAAATCAGAAGGAGTTCTGGTCGCAGAGAGCAAAAGCTATCTGGGTGTTAAAATAATCATCTCCTTCCTCAACGGTAGCCTGCAAAAACATTGCCTGTTTGCTGCAAATGTTCTGTTAGCTACAACATTTAACGGCGATGTAAAAAAATAAAATAAAATCATAGCCATGCTTATAGCCAATGCCTGAGGAAGTAGTCCTATAAATTTCAACGGGCTTTGGATCAGGCCCTTATAGAACCAATAGTGATGCTGGTATTGGGTTGCACAGATCCCCAGATTTTCCAAATATAAGGATTTTTTTTTAGACAGAAACATATAAATAAATATTATTGTGTTTATCTGTAGTTAAAATAAGAGAATAAGCACATTCTCTAAACTAGATTATAGGAAAGAGAGAGAGATTTTCTCCTTTGGAACAGGATTTTTTATGGTCCCTTTGAATGTTTGAAGGTATGCTGCCTAAGATTTTCTGAAATAAAGTACCTAATTACAATTGGGTACTTAAATAAAAGGGGCCTAGTATTCAAGGGGTCTGAGCAATGGGCTGCAGAAATGCTCAATGCTTCTGTTAAAAAAAGATGGTTTTATTTAGGCGCCTACATGCTCTTTTATGTTTCTGAATTGATACATCTGAATATGCATAGTTTGACTCTACAACACCATGTTACTAAATGTAATGCTTTTTAGTCCCCCATATTTTCATTCCCCCTCATATTTTCAATCCCCCATATTTTCATTCCTCCATATTTTTATGCAATTCACTTCTTTGCCACTTACATTTGGTTTGTGTCTGATTATCAGAGAAGCTGAACATTGCTATGGGAGACAGGAGGGTTCAGCACCCATGAAAACCAAATCCTTTGGGTGGCTGTGCACATGAAGTGATGCTGCACACAATAATTGATTAATTGAGTCTGCTAGAGCATTTTAATCAGTGCACTCTAGCAGCCTCCACTTCTTGTGTATTCAGAGCCCCTGTGCTTTAAAATGGTGGCAGGGGCACTTTAACTAAAGTTTGTCAAAGTTAAAGTGCCCTCACAGCCGTTTTGAAGCATGGGACGATAAATGCACGAGACGCTGTGGATGCTTTAATTAGAGCGGCTCCCCTCCACACCCCAGAGCATGTGTAAAGAAGCCTTTTATGCCCTACCTATATCTGCTTTTCATGTTATACTTTTCTTTTTGTCATCACTCAGTTTTGACCATGAACATCAATAGGAATTTAACCTACCTTTCCTATGCTACATTTGAATACATTTGCTTCAATAATTAGATCTTAAGATACATGTTTTACAAGTTCCAGATCTACAGATATAGAATAATACAGTTAGGCCATAGTTTGACTAAGATTCTCCCACTGTGTCAGCATACTAAAATTCAATCTTATGGTAAAAAGAAAGAGGTTTAAAATGAACTTTGTAATTTATGACCTGGTCTATTACTGACTGAAATCAATGGAGATGTTCTCACTGACTTCTTTGAACAGTAAATCAGCCCTTAGTTTCTGGTCTTGTACTCCTTATTCTGGCTGAACTCCCATTTAGTTCATTTGGGAATTGAATACATGATTAGATCTTTAATCTTAACTGTAATGCCATTGCTAGCACTATTTTGTTTGTGGAGCCTCTAGATGAGATGAGTATTCATTCCAAAAGGGCATCATTCATTTGTGTTGTGGAGGGAAGGCTAGCATGAAATTCTCTGTGCTCCATCCCTCACAAAACTGGTGCATGATGGTTGTTTTGGCAGAACCACTTGGCAAAGAGATCTGCACATTTCCTACCTGCTCTTAGGAGTCTCAGCATGATGTTTCTGTGTACATTGGCTGATGTGGAAAGCTACAATGGGAATAACCTGGGAATGGGGCTTCTGCTCCACATTTTTACTGATCCAGTAGGCCAAGAAAGTGTATAGGCATATGAATGATTTTCTGCAAGGTAAAAGGGGTCATAGCTTTACTATATGTTATCTGCTCCAAAGTAACTGCCTATGTGCAC